TGGGGAGTCGCAGAATGTGGTGAGGGGATGCGGTACATGTAAGCTAAATTTGGTCTGACGTTGGTCCGCATGTGTGAATCGTCTTCTGCTTTCATGTGAAAATCCGCCGAGCGGCCACTTGTCGATCGCATCCGCAGACGCCCGCATTCCTCAACAGTTCTTGGTGCTGACGGTGGATACATGATTCTCATTGTGTGTGGCTGTTTCGTGACTACTTCTTGGAGATTGTGCTGTTACAGAAAGCACGCTGTCTCCAACGCATGCTAGTATCGTTGTACAGCGGCTTGCAGAGACCTTCTAACTCGCCGTCACAGGAAACCTTTTTGGGCGTCTATCCTCACATGCCGCACCAACTCCTGCTGGAAATGCTCAAGAACGTAATGCACAGAAGGTTGTCGTGTCACCAGGCTCGAAGCCATCACATCATGCGGCTACTCCACATCTCAGAACAGGGCCTCCTGCCCCGCTCAATCGACAATCGGCTGCAGAATGTTTCCACTATAACTTGTAAGTACATGGCTGTGAGTGGACGCAATGGAATACTTACGCCACGATGTTGGCCCAACCGATGAGTCGCCAATGCTTCTCGATACGTCTGGACAGGGCGACCTTCTCGCCAATCTCTGTGCATGCGGGCGATGTAAGCGAAAGGCGGGCAGCGTCAGCTTTTACGGCGACAACCTTGGCACCTGTTGCAGTGGAGCCAATATTGACCATCTGTTGCATGTTAATAATAGTCAAATTAGCACACGTTTTCGACTTACGAGGACTTCGTTCTTTGCCAGTTTGGCAACCTTAGCCTGCTTGCCGTCTGCAGTCTTCACACCGAGAAGTCTGCGAAGAAGGAAGTAGTTGACTTCGAGTTCGGTGTAGATGTTGGGCAGATGTCCACGGAGACCAAGAACGAAACCGACGAGACGATCGGCACGGCACAATGTCGGGTCGACGCGAGTTCCGACACCAATCAACCCTCCCGGGACCGCGAACTTCAGGTCGTTATGCTCCGCAAACAACGACACCACTCTCGAGAAGATGGGCTTGCACTGGATCTTGCCCGCGCTGTCCTTTGACACAATACCCGGCCTGATCTCGATCTCGTCACCGAGCTTGAGTACACCCGTCAGGATACTGCCACCTGCAACACCTCCCTTCAGCTCGTCGATTTCGGCACCCGGCTTGTTGACGTCGAATGATCGGATGACGATCATGTGCGGTTTCGCAGAGAAGTCGCGTATCGGTACGGGAATCTTGGTGATCAGGTGCTCGTTGATGGAGTCAATGTTGAACTTCAGCTGGGCAGAGATGGGGATGATGGGCGAGCCGTCGGCGACAGTTCCACGAATGAACTTGAGGATTGACTCGTAGTGCGCTGCGGCGCTGTCTTCCCGCATCAGGTCGACCTTGTTCTGGAGGATGATGATGTGGTTCAGCTTCATGATCTCGATAGCCGCAAGATGCTCGCTGGTCTGCGGTTGCGGGCAGGATTCGTTGCCTGCAATCAGCAGCAGCGCAGCGTCCATGACGGCGGCGCCTGACAACATCGTGCTCATGAGAATGTCGTGGCCCGGGCAGTCAACGAACGAGACGTGTCGCTTCAGCCTGTATTTGCCTCCACAGCCATCGCGCTCGCACGGCGGGTCGACCTCCTTCTCGCTCTTGAATGACCGGTAACATGTCGGGCGCGGACACTCAGAGTTGTCGCACTGGTAGATTTTCGCGTTCGCGTATCCGAGCTTGATTGTGATATTTCGCTCCAGCTCGTTCTTGAAGCGGACAGTCTGGACGCCCGAGATGGCCTTTACGACAGTGCTCTTTCCGTGGGCGACGTGGCCGATTGTGCCGATGTTGATGGTGGCTTGGCGCGAGATGATCTCAGGCGACAGCGGGTTGAGCTTGGTGAGGTCTATGGTGCTCGGATCTGGCTGTTCTCTGGCACTCATTAGCGGTGCAAGAACTGTGGCATTTGCGAGTCTTACGGGAGCTCTGGGCGCTCGACCGGCGGGAGGACGTCTCTCGGCTTCTTCAGTGCAGACTTTGGCTTCGTCTCCTCGACCTCCTCCTGCTCCTGCTCGGACACGCTTTCGTCATCGCGGTGGTCGTGTTCGGATTCGGAATCCATGTTGGGTGGTTGTGGAGGTGTAGTGGCTCGGGTGAGAGAGAATGGAGGTGTAAGACTCTGGTCTCTTCTCTGCGCAGTTGGAGTTGTACGCGGACAGGTGCAGGCGACTTTGGGTCCAAATCGCACACGCAAAATGGCGGGCGTTGACTCAGGAAAGTTCGCGGGGCAGTGGCGCGGCCAATCGGCGCTCTGGTTTCGCCGGCCGCCGGGCCTCTACAAAACTTTCTCCTGGCGCGCCTCGACTTCTTCTCTTCATTATTGAACAACGCAAATTTTCAACACTCACTATAAAGCATTTTCTATGGAGAGACCCGTCGCCCACGTGGCGGTGTGAGGTTTCCATGAGAAAGAAAACCGTCTGTGATGTGGAGACGAAACACCAGTGGCTGATCTTGGGTGCGGTTTCTTCGGCTTTCGAGCAATGGGAGAGAGCGCAATGATTGGTCGTACATTCTTGTTTTCATTGAATACTCCCTTATCTTTGAATCACTATCGAGTCCAGCAACAATGTGGCATCTCAGAGACGCTCTGAACAGCTCAAATGCTACCTTGTGGTCGAGGGCTGTGGTAGGTCGAGAAGAATGTACGCATCTCGTCTATGCCCCTGTGCACTTTCAGTGGCTTTCATGAAGATGCATGATGAATGATTGACGGCACTTGTCTGCTAGGGCCTTGCAAGTCGTATGTATTTGAGGTCCAGCTGTCAAGGTCCCGAGGTCATCAATATATACAAACATGCAGCTCATTGAAACCATCGCCTTAGCTTGCGAGGTACCTCTTTTACTCCACCTAACTATGGTCGCGACAGCAACACGCACGTGAATACCGGTAGTGTGGGTCCAGTCAAGCTAAGACATACTCGTAACTAGGTTGCCTGGCGCACTGCTCTTCAACTCCCACCCGAGCATTCATTCCCCAATATCGAACCAGGCCTCCCCCTCACGACGTTCGAAATACCGACAATGCCGGGAACCGCTCGAAAACGTAAATCCAGGGCTATCGACAACACCAACGATGGTGTTGACGCAGATAATCAGCTCACCAAGAACGCGAAGGCAGCACCTCCTACTCGCAGCACACAACCTAAACGCCGCAGTGAACGTCTCCAACAGCAGATCTTCTGATTCATGGATCTTCCCCAAGAGCTGAAAGATATGGGCCAGTAACGGCGACCCACACAATCTGGGACTATTCCTAACTCCGCATCTTGTGGCTATAGTGTATCACGAGTTGTGGCAGTACTCGGCATCCATGCTGTTTCCGCACAACAAGAATGAATGGATTCAACTACGTTACGACAAGTTCGGCAAGGAAGACACAGTGGGTCTGCCATGCTGGCTTCTCACAAATAAGGCCATGCTATCCCAAGGCCTCAAGCAACTCTTCACGCATGCTTCATGGTCTTGGTGGGGTAAACGTAGCCAAGAATTCTCAGGCGTAAGCAAGTCACCGCTTGTAGGCTTTTCGGTTGCCACCAATTGCAGCCTTAGCGGATTCCTTGCGATATATATGGCTCCCCATTCCGGACACGGTCCGCGTATCGCCATCCATTCCAGCAGCATGGTGTCCAGGATTCAGGAACTTGCTGCCTCACTGACGCTCAATCTCAAGACCCTGACTATTACAACAGGACTCTTCATGTCAACATTGGAAGCGAGCTTCAACGTACCTGGAATTAAGACTTATTCATTCGATTTCACCTGCTTCGACGCTAGCACCCTTCAGCTGAACGAGCTCATCTTTCACTTCGACGTCTTCTCATACCAACGTTCGATTCACGAAAAATATGCAGCTAGCCTGCGTGACAACCTCCAGCCTGAAGTTTCTCGAGTCGGTCATGTTCTTGTGGGGAAAGAGCATGAAATGAGCACCGACATCACACCATATGAATTGAAACCACCTGAAAAAAAATTAAGAGACATCGGGCACTCGACACTAATCATTGAGTACAAGTTCACCAAGACCACGGAGTGAGTGGGGGCTACTGGGAGGCTTAGACGCTGGATCTGGATTGGATCAAAATCAGATCATCGATTACCATGAAGAAGAAGCAGAAAGACATGACCAGTGGTAGATCATGGCCTACAGATGTATACAGGAATTCATTACAAAACGAAAATCTACATTGCTCTAATACACTCTCTTGCTCTAATAAATTGCTTTCAGTATCACCTCCTCGATCTAGTCGTCTTAATGCTTGTTTCTCCACCCGTATCTCCCCGCATCTAACTTCCTCGTGACACCACCTCCATGCACGTTCCCGTCAACACCCTGACACCTCTACTAATCTGTATCACCCTCAACCCATCACAAAAACATGTTTCCCCGAGACTATATCCTCGACGATGTATGCTATATATACTTTAAACTCCGACCCATCTTCCAGGAAAGTAGCTACCGCAAAAGATACATGATGCCTTGCCGTCAGCCTGCGTCCCTATACGGGTCGACCTTTCCTACTTTTTGATTCGCGTGTTGTTCGGTGTGGTCTAGGACGTGTATTCGATTCCAGCGCTTCCCTGTTTGTTGCATGCATGATCTTGTTGAGCGTCTTGTGTGTCTTTAGCAACACACACGTTAAACCATAGTAGTCTAGATTGCATGGAGAGCCCGTATCAAACTCTGAGGAGATTGGCAGTGATCTTAGAGTCGTTCTTTTTCTGAGTTTGCTTGCATCACCGGTTCTCATAAACATCATTTGCTTCTTCTAATTATCAGGGACTCACTCCTCCTATTTCAGGACCCACTTGAACCTTTTGTGACTCCACACTCTGCACATAAGACCATTTACCGCATATATCCTCTCGCTGTTAGCACCTCATATTCTAATATACTACATATAATAACTAAGTTTCAATCCTTCATCAACCAAACAATCAAGGGTGGTATAGTCTAGGGGTAGGACGTCACATTGTGGATTTGCAATGCTGTGAAAGCCTGGATTCGAATTCCAGTACCGCCAACAATTTCTTTTTTTGCTATTTCTTTTGCTCTTTTTGCTTATGCTTGCTTGTTTGGTAGGTATGTGAAAGAATGGAAAAGAGTGAGGAAGAACGAACGGCAAGGAGCAGTCCACACATGTGCCTTTTATATACATACATACAGAAGAAACAAATTTCACAGTGACAATTGCTAATCTTGCTGATCGAGCACGTCTTCTAGTCATCTAGTCATTTATGTTGTTCCTCGTCATCCGTGACGAGCTCCCACGATACTCGTAGCTTGGCGCCCTACATCCAGTCAGCGCCAGGTCTGTACTATGATCGATATTCCCAACCATTGGCCCAAGTCTACAGCATTTCCAGCGTCTCGGATGCGTGGCGCTTGCGGGTATCATAAAATCCCTTCAGATCCACCCTCCTGTCGCTCTTGCAACGACCAGTATCAGGGTCCCTTGTCAGAGTTTTTCCATGACAGCCTCTCAGTCTGAATCGTCACTGACGTCCATCTCGGATCCAGAGGCCTCCTCCTCTTCTTCTTCCTCATCGCGTCCTCTCTTCTGTCCCTTCGCCACATCGGCCGCGTTGACGGGCACAGCCTTCTCTGGTACAGAGCCGAATGCAGTTGTCGGCGCATCGGCCTCTTCTGATCCCCCCTCTCGCTCGACTTCGGGCATCTTGTACGATCCGTCGAGCTTCGCAATTGTGTCTGACTTTGTTTTTGCGTATGCGATTTGCTGCGAAGACGTTAGCGGTTATAAACTAGCTATAGACTTCCGTTTGTAATATAATGAGACGTACCATATATTTGCCGAGGAACATGGTATTGTGCAATGCGCGCATAGCCTGTGTTGAAGCGTCGAGATCTCGGAACACAATGTGGGCCTGTCCTCTCATCTTCATGGTCTTGAGGGCCACCACATCCAAAAGAACGCCATAGGTCGCGAAGAGCATGTACAGATTGCGCTTCAAGTCTTCTTTTGGGAGCTTGTCGGGAAGGCCTCGAACATAGAGACTACGTCAATTAGCGACCCTGTGTATATTGTTGGCCTCAGACGCACACAAGTACTGGACGGACGGAGACTTACGTTCGGTTCGGTATGCCTTCCTTGCTGGCGACGGCGACGGTGCCTGGAGCTCCACGAGTGGATGTTGCCATGTTTACAGGGAGGACGTGTGTGGATAGTCGAGGCGTAGGTGGTGAGTTGAGCTCCCCGCAAAAGTTCACAAAGTCGACGCTAAACAATCGGGGCCGTGCGTCGGTCGCCGCATTGTCAGGTCGAGCATGCAACATTCGCTCCATTCACCAGCAAGACAGCCGCAAGAGGAGGACCCTAGAGCCCACAGGAGACAGGGTCTTAGGCGATCATGAGGAGCAATCTATCAAAGCTATACGTCGAAGCACACACGGTACATTTCACTTGCGCCTCGCCTTGAACGTAGAGCCTCAATCACTACACGCGCAGTAGACCGTTCACACCCCGACCTGCTCAGCACACACCTCCTTTAGCTCACCATGGCTTCTCCTGTGGTACTCAGCCCGCGACCGAACCCGCCAGGCGCCAAAGTCGATCCAGTCGCCGCCAGATCGAAGGCCCTAGCTATCCTCGCCTCGAGCAACAAAGCCACGCGCTCACCTGCCGTCGCGCCAGCCGCAAGCACACCAAAAGATGGCGACCTTGACCTAGCAGAACAAATGAACGACGACGTACGGCGGCAATTCGTCAGCGGAAAGAGGCTCGGAGAGGGAACATATGCTATAGTCTATGCAGGTCACTACCGACACAACCCAGACGCCCTCGTCGCCATCAAGAAGATCAAATTCAACGCTGAATTCAAGGACGGCATAGCCATGGACGCCATCCGCGAAATCAAGTTCCTCTCCGAACTCACCCACCCGAACATCATCAAACTCCACGCCGTCTTCTCTACCAAAGACCAGAACCTCTCCCTCGTCCTCGAACACCTCCCCCTCGGCGACCTCGAAGGCCTCTGGAAGAACAGAAAGCTCACATACAGCGGCGCAGACATCAAAGCCTGGGCCAACATGCTCTGTCAAGCCATCTGGTTCTGCCACGAAAACTACGTCCTGCACCGCGATATCAAGGGCAACAACTTACTCATCGCCGCCGACGGCACCGTCAAACTCGCTGATTTCGGTCTCGCGCGCTCCTTCGCCGACCCAGGACGTCCAATGACATCTAACGTTATAACGCGCTTCTACCGCCCTCCCGAACTGCTCTACGGCTGCTACCACTATGGCGGCGCAGTCGACATGTGGAGCGTCGGCTGCGTCATCGCCGAACTCGCTATTCGAAACTTCTTCCTCGCGTCGGAGACAGACATTGGCCAGTTGGCTACTATATGCGACCACTTCGGCACGCCCACCGAGGAAAACTGGCCCAGCGTATCCACGCTGCGGTACTACGTCGCTCCCAGCCAACAACCAGGTATACAAAAGGGCAGCACGGCCGCGAAAATGGGCAAGCCGGCTAGCTGGTGGCGCGGCACGTTCCCGCTACTTGGGGAGGATGGCGTCGATTTGATTAGAGGCATGTTGGCTATGGATCCCAAGAAACGTCTCACAGCCAAACAGGCCCTCGAACACAGATACTGGACAGCCCTGCCCAGACCGACGAAGAAGGAAAAACTACCAAAAGATGCGGGCGGAGAGGCCAAGGCGGCGGAGGATCTCAAGCGCAAGGGTGGAGAAACGCCAGCGAACGGGCGGGCGGATAAAGTGGCGCGTAAGCTGGATTTCGCGAGTATGGGATGAGCCTAAGCTTGAGTGTGAGGTGACGTGGAGTGAGACAAGCCACACCACTCCGAGACATCCCGACCTACATCCCGGGGTAACGGGGACTCACAACTTGCATGCATACACGGCGCCGTGGCGTTCTTTCCGGGTCATACGGTAGGGCTGCATCTTGCATTGAGCCTAGAGTAGCCGTTGTGCGCTTGCATTTTCCGGGTGTCTGGAGTTTCAAGGGTCGTTCGCCGTCCGTCCATGCTGGGCTCTGTTTAGGTACGACCGAAGGATGGAGTGCTGCAGGATCTCGCTGGCTTTTGGGCCGAGGACGGGGGTGGGGAGATCTAGATTTGTAGAGATGTATGAATATGCAGGAAGACTAATTTGGCGAATGTCGCGTATCTTGCTTCCTCAAGTGACGTGCCGGGTTCTTGTGCGATATTGAAAGGCTTTGGCTGATGAACAAATCTAAGGTTTTTTTGACCAAGAAGCAAAGACGTAATTCATACTTTGCGATTTCATGGGAAGAGATCAAACTTGGAAATTGGCATGTCAACGCGGTGATTCGTAACTACATACTCATTCGTCGTTCTAGGTAGAAATATCGTTATTCAAGTGTTCAGCCCATCCAGAAATGTCCCCTGACCGTCTTGTACGTTTTCAAATCTTGTACAACTCGATGTGCCCAATCTCATGGTCCACTTTGCCTGTAACCATTCAGGAACAGTTGATGTTCATGACACGCTCACTTCACAAGCTTGCAGACAAGATCGCCAGAGTCGACCGAATCGCCTTCGCGGACAGACAGATTGCTGACCTTACCGGAGTGAGGTGCGGAGATGACCATTTCCTAGTTGATGTGTTAGCAGGATCCGCTTTCTAGGTATATCAGAATGACTTACCATCTTCATAGCGCTCAGAATAGCAACAGGGTCGCCCTTTTTGACTTCGCTGCCATCGTGCACACGAACCTCAACCAAGACACCCGACATGGGCGAACCGACCTGGCTGCTGTCCGTAGGATCGGCTTTTGGTCGTGATACGTTCTCGATAGCTGCGTGCTGATCTTCAACAGTCACAGTACGTGTCTCGCCGTTCATCTCGTAGAAGACCTCACGAAGACCAGTTTGCTCGGATAGCGGACCAATAGCGAGAAGCTTGAGGATGAGAACCTTACCCTTCTCGAGCTCGACGTGGAACTCCTCGCCGATCTCTGGACGCGACAAGAAGTAGCGTGTTGGCAGTACAGAGAGATCGCCATACTTGCTCGTCCACTTCTTGTAGTCCTCGAAGACCTTGGGGTACATAATGGAGGATGCGACGTCGCACTCAGTCGCATCACCCCACTTAGCCTTGAGATCGGACTTCACCTTGATGATGTCGATAGGATCGAGGTAAAGGCCGGGGCGCTTGTCCATCTTCCTTCGCTCACGAAGAGCGTGTGATCGCAATGGTTCAGGGAACCCGCCGTATGGCTGACCCATCAAACCTTCGAAGAACTCGAGTACTGACGACGGGAAGTCGAGCTGCTCGGCCTTGGACAGAACATCATCGTATGAGAGTTTGTTGGAAACCATGAACTGTGCCAGGTCACCGACAACCTTGGAGGTGGGAGTGACCTTGACAATGTCGCCGAGCAAGTCGTTGGCTTGCTCGTAAGCCTTCTTTGTTTGAGCCCATTGCTCACCCAGACCTTGCTGCGAAGCCTGGAAGATGAGATTGGTGAGCTGACCACCTGGAATCTCGTGCTCGTAGACTTCGGGATCGGGACCGGTGAGACCAGCCTCGAACGGCGAGTAGAGGAGACGGAGCTGAGCCCAGTAGGCGTCAAGGTTGCGGATCATGTGAACGTCGAGACCAGCATCGAAGTCGGAGCCCTCAAGAGATGCGAGAATAGCACCAATGCTTGGTTGAGAGGTCATGCCAGACATGCTGTCGATGGCAGCATCAACACCATCAGCACCTGCCTCAGCGCAAGCAACCATAGAGGCAACACCAGTACCGGCGGAGTCGTGGGTGTGGACGTGGATTGGAAGGTCGGGGTACTTCTCACGGATAGTGCCGATGAGAAGGCGGGCGGCGCGTGGCTTCAGTACACCAGCCACTACTAAAGTCAGAGATGCTTTTGGTTAATTATTCAGGCCACTCACTGTCTTTAATGCCGAGTATATGTGCGCCCATACCGACAATCTTCTCCACTACCCCGAGGTAGTACTCGAGATTGTACTTCTTCTTAGGGTTGAGCATATCGCCAGAGTAACATACGGTACCCTC